GGCCAATCGATACACGTCTTTGACTGCTTTGTCGTATATAGGATTGAAGGCTGCTCGTCGCGCGTTTGAGAGCGTCAGAGCGTGTCGACGCGAATCACGGTGAAGTCTAAACGTTGCCTTAGTACACTCCCCACAACACGCTTTACCATTACACATGGACAGCTCTCTTTCCACTCGCCACTGAATGTTGAAGACTTCTATGTGTGGATGTGATACTTCAAAATTACTTACTTCGGCCTGAGCATCTTCTCTTCCAGCGGTGACCATGTTTGCAACCCGATTCACCAGCTGTACAATGGGATCACCTGGTTCCTCTTTCACTGGAAATTGTTTTTAGATAGACTCACAAAGTTAAGAACTAGAATATAGTACCCGATTTCTGCCTCATAGGACGCTCCGATCTTTCCACAAGTTCTTTCGGTCCAACAAAAACACTGACACTGTTCTGAATAGTAAAAAAATTCAGCAACAGTATAGCTGTCCTTGCAAATCATGGCACAAAACAGCCTAGAGTCCACATTACGCCGGAATCAAAGCAGGCATGTAATACCGTCGTTAGTAATGCTTGGCCAGGCGTTTTCAAAAAGCTGGAGGTGGCATTCGTATTAAGGGGACAAGTCACCCATGAAGACAACTTTTTGGACGAGATTCATCGTCGAGAACATCTGTACAGGAGCTTCACTGCCACTGCACTGTCTCCCACTAGATGATGACTCTCAGCAGTTGATTATCGGTTGCCCAGCCCCCAAGCTTGTTTTTTTACGTAATCCAGAAGATTTGAGTACTGCCCTTGTTCGCAGACTGGCACAACACTCCCTCACTGAACTATCTGGATCTAGGGCAAATGCCACGTGCATGACCCAACCTACCACGGCTCGCTGCCCTCGGTAGGCGGATTGCTGAATCATATTTTTCGTCAGCAGATTCTCATACCTTTTGCTTCTCGATGTTGAGTAATTCTGCAGGCTTTGCAGCTGAACCTTCTTCCCATTCTTGGTCTGTGAGTCCTTCCAAAAATTCGCCAGAAATGTCTTTGCTACGGTTACCCTATAATGAGAACATGCAAAGCGGAAGGAGCATTTGAAGTAATCTCATAATGGGAGAAAAATTTCTTAGCAATGCTCAAACAAGGAAGTCAATTCCACTGCGATTAAGTGCTGGGTAAGCTGGAGCGTTTGCTGTTTTTCTGCCGCTCCCGATCGGCACTGCTGCCATGATGAAATGCGTATTTTCGGATAGTTGTGATGGGGTATATGACAAGAGAATCGTGCAGCGATAGGAGGCGTGGCGAGCGACAGCGCGTCGCGAGAGGCGAGTTCTCCTGCCTAGCTATTTGTGTTTGACTATTAAATTGGCGAGAGGGTGTTTCACTACTACTGATGCTGAAATGTTCTGATGCTCCGCATGACAACAATAAACGGTGTAGGAAATGGCCAAAGCACGAGAGATAGGTGAGGAAGTATGGAAAAACGAAAAAATATGCAACGATTTCCGCGATTTTCGCTGCTCCAATTGATACTTTAACTTCCTGCGTTCGTCGCCACTTGACGACCACATTGAAACTTCCTGCTCTCATCGCCAGACGGTGCGCCGTGCGCGACGGCGCGACAAACTATTATTCTCTTGTCCATCTCCCATAACGATGGGATGTTCTCGGTTCAGCCAGAATCATGACGGAGTACATCTAATGAGAGTCCTAGCCGTCAAATAGTGTATTGTGAGAGGGCGTTCCGGTTTCAAGGCAGATTTCTCTATGAGCATTCGAAAAGCTGATAAGTAGCTCAAAGGGTTGGGTTGAAAATTAGAAGTATATGTGTAGTTAACCTGTCGAAAGCGTCCCAAGAAGGGTCCTATCTGTTCTAAACGAGAGGCAAGGAATCGATGGACACCTTTGGAAGTTGAGAGACCGAACAAGAGCAGCTTCAAAACATTGCAGCAGCTTAAACGCCTGACATAGTTGGTCAGAATGAGCAGAGACCTCACGTATTGATGCTGCCATGCGCGTTCCTTCAATCTGTCTCGGGCAGGTTCAAAAAACGACCATGGCAACAACAAGGCATAAGGTCTCAGCCCATTTTGACCAACTATCCTGGGCATTGAAGCTGCTCCAACAGTCTGTGGCGAGAGTGGTCACTAGCGGAAGGAGTCAGAGAGAGTAACATCGCTCTTTGAGGCCCCGACTTATTGTTCGTTAATGTTATTCGAGAAGTTTTTGGAAGAATATCTCTTTCATTCTTCACGTCCATACTTCTGGTTCAGCATAAAGCTTTTTGAAGTTGTTTCATTACACAACAGCTGCTCTCTTTAACGTCACACTCGCGCGACGCGCGTAGGGTTATCACTAGAACCGCTGAGTTATGGACACAAGTCCCCCTTGGTCAACACTTTTTCCTATAACTGATCACTCTTGTGTTCTAGGAATGGAGCATTTCGTTATGATGAGAGGCGCCAAATCACCAATCATTTTCAAAAAAGCTTACGCACATGTTCTGATCGGGCTGACACGGTGAAGCAGCAAGCGAGCTAATCCTTTGTTTGGACCACCTTCTCTTTTTCTGACTGTTTCCCTTCTTTTCCTGAACTGGTAGTTTTGTCTGACTTAGATGAGCTCGTTTTTGATTTGTTCGGATTCGGCATTATTGTTTTCCAGTAGAATACCTGCTCACACAGCGATACCTTGCAATTAATTGCAGCAAGTCACATCAAATGTCTACGGAACTCACTCGAAAAGGTCTCGAAGACTGAACGGCCGACCCAAATCTTCACTGCCAATGAAAGAAAATGGAATGAGTAAGAAAGCTCGGTAATCCTAAAAACAAGTTTTATCAGTCTCTTATTTGATATCACGATGAACTCATGAAGACATTATTGAATTTGGAAGAACCATTTCTGTCGCAAATCGCAGGGAAAAAGTCCCCTGGATGCTACATCCCCCCCCCCCCCCCCCCCCCCCCCCCCCCCCCCCCCCCCCCCCCCCCCCCCCCCCCCCCCCCCCCCCCCCCCCCCCCCCCCCCCCCCCCCCCCCCCCCCCCCCCCCCCCCCCCCCCCCCCCCCCCCCCCCCCCCCCCCCCCCCCCCCCCCCCCCCCCCCCCCCCCCCCCCCCCCCCCCCCCCCCCCCCCCCCCCCCCCCCCCCCCCCCCCCCCCCCCCCCCCCCCCCCCCCCCCCCCCCCCCCCCCCCCCCCCCCCCCCCCCCCCCCCCCCCCCCCCCCCCCCCCCCCCCCCCCCCCCCCCCCCCCCCCCCCCCCCCCCCCCCCCCCCCCCCCCCCCCCCCCCCCCCCCCCCCCCCCCCCCCCCCCCCCCCCCCCCCCCCCCCCCCCCCCCCCCCCCCCCCCCCCCCCCCCCCCCCCCCCCCCCCCCCCCCCCCCCCCCCCCCCCCCCCCCCCCCCCCCCCCCCCCCCCCCCCCCCCCCCCCCCCCCCCCCCCCCCCCCCCCCCCCCCCCCCCCCCCCCCCCCCCCCCCCCCCCCCCCCCCCCCCCCCCCCCCCCCCCCCCCCCCCCCCCCCCCCCCCCCCCCCCCCCCCCAGCGATAGAACTAAATCTGAACAATTTTGTTTGGTTTTTGTCTATGAGAAAGAGACAAGTACGCGGCATGGTGAGAATAGCCTGAAATTCCATTGATGGTGTAGCACGTGGAGATTTCCATTTCCGTCTCCCTGATGTAAAACTTTCCATATCTAATTGTTTTTTCTTATCTGTTCTTTCTCTTCTTCTGAGCAGAGAGCAGTTTGCATCTGAGTAGCTCTCTTGTGAGTAGTTCGCATAAGTGACGATTGATGGCATGGGATATGTAGTGATATTCCCAAATACAAGTGCTGTCACTGACAGCTCCAATCCGAAGAATTATTTCTTTTGTCGGACGCTTTGGTCATTTCTTCACGAGTTGTCAAATATGGCGCTAAGGAATTAATACTTGGCCGTTTATGAGATTGGTAGTTTGTATTCTCACCGTTGCTTCGAGAGATGTGAAGAACGATTCGAAATGATGTCAACATAGAAGTTCTTGTTGGTGAAAGTAAAAGAAGAACGAATTAGTCAAAAAGCGAGTCTACCAATGAGCAATGTTCATCCGGAAACTTAAAACCTGGAAAAAGGGAGAATGAAGAGGGAACATGTGAGTTCTTATTCAGACTTCGAAACACCTTTTCAAAGACTTTATTCATAGTTTCTTTTATCTAACACTCTATTCTTCTATTATCATTTTATGGTCATGCAGTAACTAACCCACGCCAGTTAGAACGTTCTTGTTCCGTATCAGTCTTCTGTTATTCAGTCCCTCGTCAGTTTTTCGACTATCCAACACTTTTCCTGTCCTGTATACTTGATCCGATCACGGGCTGGAAATATCAACCTTTCAGAATTACCTTTCCTGGGATACAATGGTTCTAAGTTGTAGTGAGGTATGAGGCTGTACCCAAGCGCGGCGGTAGAGATGTCGCATTATCTAATGGCGACTTGTACGAGATTGCGGGTGATCCAGTCACTCTGATCGTTCAGGGTCGTCCGAATCAGGTATCTTTAAAGACTGTTCAATTTCATCGCCATGGTGTGACCATGGTTTTCGAATGTCTCATCCATAGCGTTGAAACTGCTGTAATAATGACCTTTAAAAAGCTACAGAGAACCGCCTCGATGAGAACATCACTAGACATTCATTTATTTATTCATGGTTTCTTCATTCATTATGACAACACTTCACAGGGATGTTACAATAGTCGCCGTCCGCGCGAACTCCAAGGCTTGAAGATCGATTGGCCCTGACCAGCGATTCAGACGGAAACCAAAATTGAGCTATTTTAGCGGATGATGGATGCTACCGAATACCATATATGTTAGATGCGCCCTCTCTTCCGAAACCTTTACCAACTGTGCCCACGTACACAGGCAGCTCTCCATTTTTTGGAATGTAGCATAATAACGAAGCACTCTCGATTTTTTGGCGACTGGTCCTTCACAAGTGAAATCATTTGTTAAGCGTCTCTACGGTTTTCTCGTCACACCGGTCTCCTTTTGAAGGAACTGTGAGCGAGGATACGAACGGGTTTGGCTATTTTCATTGTTCAAGATGGGTGTCCATCTTTGTCCATCCATGGTTTTCGAATGTCTCATCCATAGCGTTGAAACTGCTGTAATACATGACCTTTAAAAAGCTACATAGAACCGCCTCGATGAGAACATCACTAGACATTCATTTATTTATTCATGGTTTCTTCATTCATTATGACAACACTTCACAGGGATGTTACAATAGTCGCCGTCCGCGCGAACTCCAAGGCTTGAAGATTGATTGGCCCTGACCAGCGATTCAGACGGAACCCAAAATTGAGATATTTTTAGGGGGGGGGAGGGGGGGCCCGGCTGATGGATGCTACCGATTACCATATACGTTAGATACGCCGCTTTCTCCCGAATCTTTTCGGAGGCTGTGCTCACCATACATAGGCAGCGCTCCGGTTTTTCGAATAGCATGATAACGGAGCACAACTCATTCTTTTGCGACTCATCCTTTGTAGTGAAAATTATCGTTAAGCGCTCTAGGATTTCACGCGGTCACGCGTGTCCGCTTTGATGAACTGCGAGATGCAGGATTGGTTTCAGTTTGCTCCAAAATAAGGTGTCCCAAGTTATCTATTGTCTCATCATTCCGGTGAATAATAAGTGGGGAGATGTACGGGTCTAGCTACGAAACGTGCTCTCCAACCTCTCCGTGGCCGTGCTGGCTTTGAGTTTGAATGAGTTGCAAAACGTGTTAAGTTGTATCGTTCAAGCGGCTAGAAATAATCTTTACATGAGTCTTGCGGGGATGGAGGCTTGATTTGGGCCGCGATTCGGCTTGGAGGGGGTGTGGGAGGGGTCTAGTTTTCATCAGTCAGCGTGTCTGTGCCTCCTGCGCAAACCTGTACTCTCTCGTTGAAAGCTATGAAATAGCTTGAAGAGCTTGCGTTTACACGTAAAGTTGATGGATCGGAAAATCAGAAAAGTCCCACCGGCCTCTCGGGCCTAGCGTCTGTGATTCGTCTAAGTAGTGATTTCGGTTTAGGTACTTCATTTCTATTTATTCCTGCGACTCCATTTCAACCTAGCGCACCACCATCCAGTGCCACATGAAATGCACAACTACAATGTCAATATCCATCTCTGTATCGTTTTTGTTTGAACGCACTATTTTCCAAATTTAGAAGAGAAGAAGTAACAGGTTTCTCACATTTGATGGCAGTAGTGCTTCCGCGATATATAAATCATTGAGATACGACAGAGAGACGGTGCGTCACAAAAGTAGCGAGATTACGTCAAGGCTGCGACTTCACGCGTTCAACAATATCCTCTAAGCTGTGCTGCTTCGACGCAGTGGATAAAATCCAACCTTCTCGCACGCCAAAATGTTCTTTCACGTTGCCATTCCGAGTTCTGGCGAATTACCTAGGACCCTAGTCCTGTACTACGCATTTGCCTCAAAATGTAGCAGGAAGGCCACACTCTTCATACTGGCTACGGTTTGTTGCTCGGCCAGTTGCATAGTTTTGCTGCGAGATATTTGTATTTATATTTTGGGCTATATTTATATTTTGTCTCTTTGTTCTGTTCATATCAAGATATGATTTCGTTTCAGCCGAATCAATGTCTGATTTGGTCACTGCTCTTCCCTGTTTCCACGACTCCAGATGTTCCCTGCAGTCAAGTACGACCATTACCGCCTTATGCTTTAAAAATTTATGGATGGTTCAAAAGATCCGCCTTTGATTTGTCTTCTAGACTCAGTTAATTTTATTTCATTATCTATTTTATTACATGAGCTGCCCATGCGGACTCATACAACATCATTCAAGAAAATACAATGAAGGAAATGACCCAAAAAGTCCCGCCTAAAAAACAATAATATGGCAAAAATTTACAGTATATACCAAAGGAAAATAATACTATATTGGATGGCAAAGGAGATGAAACAGGCGAGACTAGGAGAAGTAGCAGTCATGTATCAACGGAGCTATAAAGACACTCGCCAAAGTAGTGATTGCTGACAGTACCTGGTTTTTTTCTACTCAGTGCTGAATAGAATACAGGGGAGGGCCAGAAAAAAAGTCACTTTGACCAAGTCATACGGCAATGTTTTGGCAGCCCAGACAGACGGACGGGGTACGAGTGCCAGGGGCAGAAGTCCCAGATGTTCCGCGCAGGAGCTGCCCTCGCTGCTTATCACCTGCTATGTACCCAAAATATGCAGTCATCTCCAGTCCAGCTGACTGAGAAGATGCTTTGGAATTCATGTCACCGACCGACAACAGATACGAGAACTCCCTAGGCATGGAGTCCAACAGGATAGCTACTGGAGACCAGTGTCTCGATCTGGATCACCTCCAACTACGACAGCCGCATATCGTCTGCCACGGTTAGACATTCATTTCATCGCAGTCGCCAAGGCCGGATGATGGTATGAATGGAAAGACCGATATTTTCCTCGCTGATTCCCGGACTGAAAGTGAGGGCGCTG